TGGAATGAAATGCCAACATAAGGAGAGGGAACATGTAAGTAGTGAGAAAATCATTAGTATTTAAAACGCCAAATTAAAACATGAGAAGAAAGTGTGACATAAGTAAAATCTTGAAATGAGCATTAAAATTTTAGTTGGGAGATCATTAGTTACCGATATAATAACATACAACCACCATGTGGCGGCACGACAGCCGATCTCGACCGGATCGGCTAAGCTGTCTCACCACAATGCCGTGTGGATCGACGTGTCTGTGCTAGCAATACAATACATCATCCCAATATTGGGGCATAATCTCATCATGGTGCGAAAGGGGACTTGTCCCCAATCGACTCCTACACCGGCACGTGTAGTTTTAAGTATAGGCCTTATAACCTACACCTTCTCGGTTACATAACAATACTTCCAAAAACATTTCATCCAAAGCATTTCATAAAAATCTTTTCTTTTCATTTATCCCTTGGGACATACATCATCAATCTTATTTTGGCAAAATGGCCGCATTTCCTCGTCATACTTTCACTCTGCTCGTTTGACATGGCTTATCATAAAATATTAAGGATATTTGAAACATTGGAAAATCATAGTTTCGGATACATCTATACTATATTAAAAGCACGAAGCCGCTTAGCGAAATGTTGTTCACCTTTTTTATCCTTTAAAAATAGGTTTCATGCTACACAAAATTGTAATTAAAGTTAGTTTCCTAATATTTAAGATTTTAAAAGCAACTAAAGTTTTTTGTTATTAAATCTTTCTTTATTGAACTAGGTAGGTAATCATAATATTTAGGACTTTTATTAGAGTTGTATTGAACTACTCCTTTAAGATTCTTTAGAGTTGTATTGAACTACTCCTATAAGATTCTTTATTATGCAAAACGTGAGCTAGCAAAATTTGTGTGAGTCAAACACACAATGATTCAGGAAACATAAATATTCAAAATTGACATTTGATTTTTCTTACTATTGGAAAATCGAATTATCATTGGACAAAGTTATAATTATAGCCAAATTAAAAATTGAAATGAGCTAATATTAAAGAATTTAAATTAATAAATATTAAGTTATTTCTTTTAATGTTGAGAACAAATAATTAAGTCATTGAATTAACATATCAGAAAAGGAATTTAATTTAATTATTTAACAAATTCATCATATAAGAAAAAAATATTTTCCAGATTGACAAAACAATTAAGCTACATGGAATTTATTTTTGTAAGAAGAGTATAGCAAATCGACGGTGAAAGACAAATATAGCAAAATTTTGTTATAACATAAAATTAAGATTTAAATCGACAAAAGTGCAAATTTAAAGCAATAAGGATGAAATAGTAGAATACAAACTATATTATAAATGAGTTGTACTTTATTTCTTTCTCTTTCATGTATTCAGTCCAACAAATGATAATGTCTCGCTATAATATTTATATTAAGTTATTTGTTATAAATTATTAGTTCAATATTAGTCATTTTTTGAACTTTACATTGCCACTATTATATTTTTAGGAGGTATAAGCCAACCTTTTCATTCTCAAATTTCTAAAAGACAGAAATTTTTAATTTTAATTTGTGTTATTTGACAAATCTTTGGAGAATCATGATAAAAGTATTTTATGTTTTGTTTTTATTGTTAGGTCACATAAATATCATTAATTTATATAAATTTTGACATAAGTTCTCATAAATCACAATAAGGCATCTGAAAACTTTTACGTGATAAGATTTCTTCATTTATTGTGCTAGCTAACGAGAACAATATTTTATCATTTAGAAATTTTTTATTAAATTTTATTTATAATTCAAACAAACTGCCAAATATATGTATGTAATTTTTAAAATTTGTGTATTCCTTGATATAGGTACACGCGCAAAGCGCTACCTTATGACTAGCAAGTACATAAGAGCTTAAAACACATTGAAACATCTCTAGAAGGAGAACATATTGATTTCAATTGGAACATAAATTGAATGCAAAAGCATTTGATAAATCAATTATTTGAAACATTTCAAACAAAGGAATGGGAACTTGGACAACCATAGTTAGAGTTTTATGAGGAGTTCATGGAATCCGATTCTATAGAAGGAGTTTAGCCAAACATACCTCAATCGAGCTTTCCTTAGGATCCCTACAACGTTCCACTACTCTTAGCAACTTCAGTCTACATTAACATAGTTCAATTGAACCATTATTAAAGAGGATTCTCATAATTTAGGTCTTTAGGCATCTTATCAAACTTTCAGCGTGCATACTTGTTTACAACTTTCTACAATGGGATTTCTTCATCCCACCACCAACTTCCATATCAACAAATTCATCCACCACCATTCTTAGGCAACCAATAACCTCCATTGGCACATGCATGCCAACCATTCATTCCCAACCCAAGAATCACATCTCCTAATCTTCACATACCCCCAAATCCAAGATTGAAGGCTTATGGCTTCCAATAACCATCCCATAAGCCCCAATACTAAAATCTTACCTATGAATTCGTTATTGAACATTGTATGTGACCTAAGGATGAAGTCTTACCTTGTTAGTAGAAGACCTTGTGTTTTTCCTTCCTTGAATTCCCAAGAATGGCAATAAATTGAAGAGTGGCAAAGCTTGGAGCTTCTCCCTCTCTCTCTAGAGTGTTTCCCTCTCTCAAAATATCAGATTTTCCTTCTAAAATGACCCCTAAAGCCTTTTATTAAAAATAGAGCCAGGTTAGGAATTTTCCAAAAATTCCCCTCTGATGCAGGTTTGCGATCACAGAATAAACATCGAAACGCCTCTGCGGTCCCCGAAATGCACCGCAAAATGGTCCTCCAGATTTGAGTTGGAACTGGACAGGTCTGCGCTGGATCTGCGGTTCGCATAATGGTTCTGCGGTTCACACATTGGACCGCGAAATCTCCTTCAAGAATTCCCCAGGTGGCCCTACCGATTCCGCGATCGATCTGCAGTCCGCAAAATAGATAGACGGTCCGCATAACGCATCGCGAAATGACCCTCAAAATTCTAGTTTGCTTCTGCCCCAATCCGCGATGATTCTGCGGTCAGCGCAACCGATTCACGGTCCGCATAAATGATCGCAAAATCACCCTCTCATGCCAGATCTTCTACCCACTTCGCGACGCATTGCACAATCCACAAATACGTACTGCGCAACCTTCCGAACATATTAGCTTGACCTTGGCACTATAAAACCTTAAATCCTTGGTGGACTTTTACGGGTCCTTACAATGGGAATAGTTTGACAAAAATATATTCTCTTAGGGGTCATTTGGTTACCGGGATAAGGATACTAATGTTGGGATAGAATATGAGATTGTATTTATCCCACGTTTGATTATGGGTATTAACTAACCGCGGGATAAATTTTATACCAAAATGGTGGGATTTGCTATCCCATATAAAAGGTGGGATAACTAATCCCATGAGATATTCCAGCCCATGAAATACCCTTGTCTATCCCATAATTTAACCAAACGACCCTTTAGGATAGAGGATGGGAGTAGGGTAAGTTTCTGAGGTCACATGTGGTGCGGGAACAATACTTTGAGAGTCACATTTCCAAACACGTATGAAGTTTCATGCCAAAAGAGATGTCAGATTAACGGATACAGAAGCTCCTAGGTGTAGAAGTTCTTTAGTATTTGAGATCTAGGAGTAACTTGCAAGATTGGGAGGTTGCAAAAATTCAACAGTTGGTAGAATTGCTTCTAGGAATGAAGGAGTCAGTTTTTCCACATCTCTCAGTATGGATCCCTAGAATATCGAGAAAGATGTGTTTCTTCACTTGGCTAGCCGTGGAAGAGGGGGGTGGGGGGGATCTTGGCGGATGAGAAGTAAGGGAAGAGAAAGATTATATGTTAGTTGGTGTTTCATGTGTGAAATCTTGGGTGAGGATGTGGATCATCTTGTTTTACATTGCGGGGTAGCTTCGGGCTTGTGGTGGAAGATCTTGGGATGGTTTGGACTTCAGTATGTAATGCCATGCATTGTAAAGGAAGTTATGTTTGGTTAGACACTTGAAATCGGAAGAGAAGACACATGCGTGGGATCTGGCTCCTTTAGCACTTATGTTGACAGTTTGGAAGGAGAAAAATAGGAGAGCTTTTGAAGAAGTAGAAAATGATTTTGTACATCTGATAAGTAGCCTCATATCCCTTACCAACTTTTGGTACACCCCATGAGATTTCTATTTGTATAGAAGATCGGGTAACTTTTGTGGGTAACTTTTGTAGAGAACAATATCGTTTTGTAAGATGTTCTATTTTTTGGTATACTTCTTTATACATGGGTGTTTTTTGTGCCCTTTGTTAATACAAAAATTTTATTACTTCGTAAAAAAAAACAAGAAACGTATAACTACTATCAAATACATTAATATAATTATTTTTTTTACTATAAAAGTATCTCTTTTGAAGAAAATATCACATCTGACAACAACAATAACAATACCAGTGTAATCCCACATAGTGGGGTATTGGGAGGGTAGTGTATACGCAAACCTTACCCCTACATTGTGGAGATAGATAGGCTGTTTCTAATAGACCCTCAGCTAGCATAAGCATAACAATAATGAAAAGAAAAAAGGCCAGAAACAACAGTGAGAAGCCATGGAAAAGAAGAATTAATAGCAACAAGATAGTAAGAAGACCGAAATAAAAGAGACAACAGGTAATAATAGAAACCTAAGACCGATAAAATACGAGAGTACGTACTAATGCTACCAGTATGAACAAGGAAACCACTCCCCTATTACTTATCTTGAGCCAAGCTGGGTTTATGTGGTGCTGTTAAATCCTTGCTCAAAATTCAAGTTCCTGACAGAAATAGCTCACCCTGTATTTATTTTTTTATTGCTTCAGTCTCTAATTATCTCTTCAATGTACATCTTGAAATAGGGTCTTATTTTATGCAAAAATGTTACTTCTGAAAGTTCATTGTCTGTCTTCCATGATAACCATCCTAAACATTTGTGATTTAGAAGTTCTTTGTCTTTGAAGGTGGGATCAACCAGAAGAGCTGTTGCTATTTCCTATGGGCGCAGATGTGAGGCCAATGTTACTATCCTTGAAAAGCTGGTATGAAAGCCCAGAAGTTTGCAGTTTCTGAGCATTTGTTTAGAAAAACAAGTTGACATGATACTTGATAGTCTTAGAAGTTCTATTATATTGAGAACTGAATTTACTATGAGCTTTTACTTCGATTGTTTTGGTTGTCTGTGGAGAATATTATTTTCACAGAAAATGCTGATGATTAAGATGAACTTACTGTACGCTTAAGTTCCTGATGGATGCAGATTGACTGACCAATGTACTAAACTACTAATATGCTGCCTTCTCCTCCTATTCAAATTCCAGTTAATATTCATGTTTCTTATACAATTTCAGATTCAGTTGCGGCACAAGCTTGCTAGATTGCTTGGATTTGCAAATTATGCTGACTATGCCACTGATGTTAGAATGGCAAAGTCTTCCTCTAAGGTTGGTGCAAAATTCATTGACGATTGATATTCTTTACAGAACTTGAATAATTTGCCCTCGAGAAGAATACACAACTTCCTTGGCTCCTAGGAATACATGTCTCTCTTTACTCTATTCCGTCATTACCCTTTCTTTCCTTTTAATAGTTCTGACAACTACTATAAACAAGAAGGATCACGCACAAAATGTTAAGAGGTGCTGAATATCTATCATTTCCACTATAGGCAAAGAGGAACAATTTATGTTTTATATATTTGGAATGTTTATTACAAGTTTGCAAAATGAATTTTGGTCTGCTATTTCTCTTGATTTTCAAACTTATTAGGTGTTTGAGTTCTTGGAGAGTCTCTCTGCCAGCTTAAATGATTTAGCCTACAGGGAACTTTCGATGGTTAAAGCATTAAAGGTAACTTCAAATTTCCTGTATGTTGACACTTTAGCTTATGTTTGGTCTGTTTCACCTATATGCTTCACCTCTTGAAGATTCTTGTGTTCTGATAATGTAGAAGAAAGAGGAAGGCGAATGTCCTTTCGGCATGGAGGATCTCCCATACTATGTCAAAAGAGTCAAAGATCAACAATTCCGTATGAATTTTGGAGTAATTAAACAGTACTTCCCTATCAATTTGGTTTTGTCCGGCATCTTCAAAATCTGCCAAGACTTATTTGGTAATCACCCCGAATTGTGTTTGGTGCTGTCTTTGATCCTTTTTCCCTTACTCATAACACAATAATGTAATAATAATAATAATAATAATAATAATAATAATAATAATAATAATTTATTTAATATTAGGCTTAGATTTCAAGGAAGTTGAAGGTGCTGAGGTTTGGCATCCAGATGTGCAGCTATTTTCAGCTTCAGATCTTAGTTCTAAAGGACTTGTTGGTTATTTTTACCTAGATCTATACTCCAGGTTATCCCAGCTCGATTATTCTTCTTCAAGTTCAATGTGCTTCCTTTATCAACTTTATGGTAGAATACTGAAAATTCGTTTCAATTTTAACAGAGTCGGTAAATATGCGCATACCTGTGTCATAGCTCTTCAGAATGGTTTACTAAATAATGGTTCAAGACAGGTAACTGCTGGATGTATCACTTGCCTGATTCTAGTTCTTAGATTTTCACTAACGAAATTTCCTCGGATCCAGATTCCTGTGGCGCTACTTGTTTCTCAATTTGAAAAGAAAGTTGATGGTCACCCTGGGTTATTGCAATTCCCTGAAGTGGTGAATCTTTTCCATGAATTTGGTCATGTGGTATGTGACTTTCCTTTCATGCCTAGTGAAAAATTAGAACACTAGTCTGAATTCCAGTTGTCTCTCCTGTCAAGTTATAATACAATTGGAGAGCAATGTTACCTGGCACCTCCCTTCCAATTAAATACTAGTATGTCCTTTTTTCTTAGCCAATCTTGCGATTATTGTTGTCTAATAATTTCAATTTTGAGGAAAAACATTGTGGGGCACTGGCTAAGAGCCATTCCCAGCTTCGCAACTTGTTAGTCAAGGGGTGCACTGGAATTAATCCAAGTGACTGCCCGTCCTTTGAAAAATGGTTTAGTTCGGGTCGAATCCATGTTGAAATCATTACTGAGCTGCCTTAGTTACATATAAGGATCATCTGCAGCTCGGAAAGTGGTAACAAGAAAAAATTGTCAGATGTGATTAATCGCCTGATCTGAACTTGTTAAAAAATGAAGGCCGTGCTTCAACCAAAGAATTGAAGTATGACGCCATGAAACGTTATTGTTTATATTGGCATGAAGGAGAACTATAGAGCTGTACCTTTGACATTGTCTTGTTAAAGCTTACTGGAAGACTTCGCGAGAGAAATGCTTATCTTATTCTTAATTGTATATGTGTTTGTTGGAGTAAAAAGTATCACGTGTAAAATTGTGATGCCATGAATGAGGGAGGACTGATAGGGGCGGGTCAAAGGAGAATGACTGACAGGATTCTAGGTTAGCAAGCTTCCTAAGAAGAGGTGCATTTGACATCTGTGAGAAGGCACGGGAGAAAATATGTTATTGATATTGGATGATAAATACAATACAAGAGGTCCCTATTTATAGCTATACACTACAAGGAGATATTACTCCTCTTCCAATATGGGACAAGACTACACTATACATATCTGTAAACTAACACTCCCCCTCAAGCCGGTGCATACACATCATATGTACCGAGCTTGTTACACATGTAACTAATACGAGAACCAGTAAGAGACTTAGTGAAAATATCTGCTAGTTGATCATTCGACTTTACAAACTTTGTAACAATATCTCCTGAAAGTATTTTTTCTCTGACAAAGTGACAGTCGATCTCAATGTGTTTAGTCCTCTCATGGAACACCGGATTTGACGCAATATGAAGAGCAGCTTGGTTATCACACACTAGTTCTATCTTGCTGATTTCTCCGAACTTTAACTCCTTGAGCAACTGCTTGACCCAAACTAACTCAGACGTCGCCATAGCCATGGCCCGATATTCGGCTTCGGCGCTAGATCGAGCAACTATATTCTGTTTCTTACTCTTCCACGAGACCAAATTACTTCCTACTAGAACACAATATCCAGACGTAGAACGTCTATCAAAAGGTGATCCTGCCCAATCAGCATATGTGTACCCAACAATTTGCTCGTGGCCTCGATTCTCGAATAGTAATCCTTTGCCTGGAGCTGACTTTATATACCGAAGAATACGAACAACTGCATCCCAGTGACCATCACAGGGAGAATCCATAAACTGACTTACAACACTCACCGGAAAAGAAATGTCAGGTCTAATCACTGTGAGGTAATTCAATTTGCCAACCAACCTCGTATATCTCGTAGGGTCTCTAAGAGGCTCCCTCTGTCCAGGCAGAAGCTTAGCATTCGGATCCATAGGAGAGTCAATAAGTCTGCAACCCATCATTCCATTCTCCTCAAGAATGTCTAAGGCATACTTCCACTGTGAAATAACAATACCTGAGCTAGACTGAGCGACCTCAATACCTAGAAAATACTTCAAT